CTTTTGCACCTTCCTGTCAGCCAAAAGACGATTTCGCACGGGTTGTATCGGAATTCTGGGCTCCTGATGTTGAAATGTGCTCGCCGTCAAGCTGCAAGATAAGGAGGAGTATGAAAAGTCGCTTTGCCAAAAGGTTTGAGGATTCTGTTATTAGTGACGAGATCGGGATTTGGAGCATTAAGAGGAGTTTGGATGTTTCTAACTTGACAAGGGCCATGTATCATAAATGGATATTTCGAGGGAGTTGAAGAGCAGTCAGAAGGTGTCTATAATCTAAGCTTAAATACAAATGAGGGTGAGCATATGAATGAGCTTCATTGAATGGTGTATTCTACAAACTCGAATATTACTTGCTCTTACCCTTAGGCCAAGCCTTAACTGTCGTCAAGCTGTATAGGAACAGACCGCCAATGAAGGGCACGTCATTGAGAAGTTACCACACCCCAGCACTCCACCACTGTCGAGACGGTCAAATATAGTAAAAATAGCCGTCAGCAAGGGGTAGATATATATAGCATATATATCAAGACGAAAAACTATTGAATCCACGAAGCATTGAAATGTCTGAGACCGAAAGGAGTAAAATGTTGTCAGGTGCCCCACCGAAAGCGTCGTCTTGGCGCTTTTTGGGAGCTTCGGGGTCTCTCTGGCCTTTTGTTCTTATAACTCTAGTCTTCACATCTCCTCGCATACCGCCATGCTTCATATACCAATGCGCGAAAATCACAATACTCAGGCTTCCACCAAGGCTGTGATCTTGGTGAGTGGCGGAATCATCACGATAAGCAATAACTGACACCTTGTCCACAGGTCGGAGGCCCCTCAAGAGGCACTCGGTTCCGCCCATTGTCGCTCGATGTGCCCAAGGTATGCATCTGCATCTCATTTGATCGTCCGGATCCGCGCTGGACAAATATTGACAACGCAATTTCAATAGCCCCTATTCGAAGTCGCCGGCCACCCCATCATCCACCACTGCCTAAAGGCGGTGGCCAAGGTCCCCGATGTACGCGAGGTGATTTTGGTCGGATACTATGATGAGAGCGTATTCCGGGATTTCATCAAGGATGCCTCGAAGGAATTCCCCCAGCTCCGCATCCTCTACCTACGGGAATACACAGCGTTGGGCACCGCAGGTGGGCTGTACCACTTCCGTGATGCGATCCTCAAGGGCAAGCCCGAACGGCTCCTCGTGCTGAACGCTGATGTCTGCTGCTCATTTCCGCTGGGCGAGATGATGCGACTATTTGAGGAGAAGGACGCCGAGGCTGTGATTCTGGGTACACGAGTGTCGAACGACACCGCAACAAACTTCGGATGCATCGTTTCCGATTCGCACACCAAGCGTGTGCTGCACTACGTCGAGAAGCCTGAGTCGCACATCTCCAACCTGATTAACTGCGGTGTCTACCTCTTCGCTACCGAGTGCATCTTCCCCGCCATCCGCAGCGCCATCAAGCGCCGCACCACCCGCCCCCGCCTCCTCTCGTACCCCTCCTCCGACAACCTGGAGTCCTCCTTCGTGGCCACCGGAGATGACGAGGACGCTGAGAAGAGCGAGGTCCTCCGTCTGGAGCAAGACATCCTCTCCGATCTGGCCGATAGCAACCGCTTCTTCGTCCACGAAACCAAGGACTTCTGGCGCCAGATCAAGTCCGCCGGCTCTGCCGTGCCTGCCAACGCCCTGTACCTCCAAAAGGCATTCCAGGCCGAGTCCCCTGAACTCACTGCCCCTTCCGCCACCATCGTGCCTCCGGTCTACATCCACCCCACTGCCTCCATCGACCCCACCGCCAAGCTCGGTCCTAACGTCTCGATCGGCCCGCGTGTCGTGGTCGGCGCCGGTGCCCGTGTCAAGGACTCGATCGTCCTTGAGGACTCCGAGATCCGCCACGATGCTTGTGTCATGCACTCGATCATCGGCTGGAGCAGCCGTGTCGGTGCCTGGGCTCGCGTGGAGGGCACACCCATCCCCGTGGGCAGTCACTCTACCAGCATTGTCAAGCAGGGTATCAAGGTGCAGAGCATTACCATTCTTGGCAAGGAGTGTGGTGTTGGTGATGAGGTCCGCGTGCAGAACTGCGTGTGCCTGCCTTACAAGGAGCTCAAGCGGGTATTTGTCCTTTCTTTTTTCTTCTATATGCCATTGACTAACGTTTCCTATAGGATGTGTCCAACGAGGTCATTATGTAAACTGAGTTTTGGTCTTCTTTGGTCGAAATTTACCTGATCTTCTTGTTGATACGGCTTCATTGTCGGGTTTGTCTCATCTCATCTTATCTTATGGTTGGATGGTTATTTGCTTCGTGAGCGCAGCCGATCTAAGGATCTTTTTGTTTTAATCTATCTAGAACGAACCCAAAATGAAGCAGTCGTTGGATTTCTCGTATTGCTATCTGCTATACTAATTCGTTTTATTTTGCTATGAATATCACATATCCCAGTAATTGATCCCTCGAAACGCCATGCAGATTCCCCGTCATCAACCCAAAACACCCGAATATAAACCTTGAGATGCAACCCCAGATAAATATCGTAAACACCCGCTTGCTGTCATCAGAGCAAAGGAAAAAGAACCCCCAAGTACAAAGGCACACTCAGCGATACATAGCAGGGTCATACCCAGTATTCTCAGCCGGTCTCTGATGCCCACCCTGATCATAAGAACTAAAACGCACTCTGGGTGCATCACGGTGACTCATCCCGGGCGCAGTATCATAATAATTCTGCGCCTCACCAGCATGCGCATACTCTAAATTGTGCCCATAAACCGGTGGCCCCTGGCCATGGGCACCGGACATCGCGGGGGGCACGTTATCATAATCATGCAGGGCAGGGGTAGACTCGCTGTGACGCTCGTCCATCTTGACGTCGAAGGCGCCCGAGTCATCAAGGCCTGGCTGTGAACCCATGGCGTCGTAGACGCCGAGACGAGTCTGGCGACGGCGGACAATCACATCCAGCCAGACGGCGGCGATGTAGCTGACCAGGCCGATGGCGGTGAATGTAAAGAGCGTTTTGTAGCTCCGGCACACGGAGATGCCGGTTGAGTTGCCCCAGTACGTTGTTGTGCAGGCTGTTGTTATGGTGCTTGCCAGGCTCCAGCTCAGGAGGCCTAGTGATAGCGCCCAGAGGATCGTTAGGAGGATGTTGAGCGATATGGAGAGTTTTGTTGATAGGCCGCAGCTGCAGTGGATTACTGAGGTTAGGAAGATGTTGAGGAGGGAGAGGCCTGCTGAGACGAAGAGCTGGGGTTGTTTCTTAGCATTTCTTGGGGAGCCGGGATATGTTGGATGTTTACTTACCACGAGGAATGAATATGGGAGTTTGTAGCCATCGGCGTGGAGGTGGTAGGTAAACACTGCCAAGATCACGCCTGCCACGAGTGAGGAGAGGGCGATCAGGAAGCGGATTAGATGAAATGGCAACGGCGGGTATGCCGAGGGCTTAACGGAGGGTGATCGCATGGCGAGACGTTGAAGATGTAAAGATGAAAGAAAAAGGAAATCTGCCAGAGAAACAGCCTCTACAATCAACAACTCCATGATCGGCGCTCCACTTTGACACGTTTGGGGGTGCGTCATGGCGCTATTTTTATATTTTCAGCGCAGCTTGCATCTTCGTATAATTGTTTCAAATAAGTTGGACATTAAATTATGGAGATGTTCCAAATGTAGAGCGAATACCAGTTTCGACTTCAATATCCTTCTTTCTTCAATAGTTGAAATCCTCATAAAGCACCGTTTTGCCCACCAGCCAATTTAGAACCATCCGCTTCAAGGCAACACCTGCGCAGAGGTACCAAACATCTGCTAGCGCAAGGTCTAAGTCCTCGGCCTGCATGCGTCGTCGTATCATTTGCACCCCAGACGACTGGAATGTCCCACATCTGCCGATCGGCTCCATCGAGCTCCACATTGGTGATAAACAAAGTCGTTGATAGGGGCAACTGTGGCCACCGCTGGAAAACATCATGTATCAGGCCCAGATCATTGATCGAGATTGACCAGAATAAGCGCAGCTGGGAGATATTCAACTCTGGAAGCTGTGCGAGAAGGGGTGTGATGCCAACACCGCCCGCCACGTAGGGAACGATGGACTTTCCGGACAAGTGAAAGCTTTCCCCGAATCCCTTGAGTGGTACTTCTAGGCCAGCTCGCTCATTTACTTGAGATAGATATCTAGTAACGGGACCATGTCGTCGGACCATGGTCTCGAATTGATCAGCGGGTATATCGCGACCAGGGTAAGAAGACACGGTAAAGGTTCGAACGTAGTAGTCGTTTAGACTGGTTGGATCGTCATCTCGCATGTGGCTATAGCCCATATTCAGCTCGTCTTCAAATGACAGTGTGACATACTGTCCCGCACTCCATGAAATCGGTTTGCGGCCGGAGATGCGGAACCGAAACCGTTGGATGGATGGTGTAATGTTTTCTTTCTTTATTAACGTTGCCAATGTGTCTAACCCACTGTCTCCTTGGGTGCCTGGGACCTGTTTTTCGTTGACGAGATATCGCACGCTAGGACTGTAAGGAGAAGGATCCCTGGCCTCGCCGCGAAAGCCCAGCCCATTTTCAACAAAGATTGCAGCAGCAATGGTGACTCGCACAGCGAGATTCGATCTTGGTAGGATAGCAGCTGCGTCTTTCCTCGCTAATATCTGGGTCGATCCAGTGAAATAAAGGACGTTGCCGCAGTCAAAATCGGGAACGACAAACCCAGCCAGCGGGGTGGTTTCTAGATTCCCTAGCGTTTGATAGAGTCTATTCCCTGAGTACTCGGGATAAACAAGAACTGCACCGCTAGCATTGTTGGATTGGACACGCATGAATCCTGGTGGGCCACCACGTATGTTTGTGTCCATAGTTGTTACTCCATGAGATGAAGATACAAACATAGTATCCGCACGAGAGAGCAGCTCAACTGCAGTAGGACTCAATTGTGGCGAGGCGGAATCAGCTTAGAATCAGGTTGTGCCAATACAATATGTTTCTTGTTCAAGTATTTCGGGCAGTTCGCAAGGCTCTCTTCAATGTGACAACCAATTGTGCCTGGCCTGCGTCTCCATCAGAAAGTGAGCCCTTCACCATTCTGCCATACAGCTTCAGTCTCCGGCGATTCTCCAAGTCGACTGCCAGTCCGGAAATCATCTTTCCTGTGTATGTATCAGTTTGATTACCGGTCAATAGTGCCTGCACAACGGGGTCATATTTGCTGTCCACTTCGATTAGCGAGTAGGCAACTGGCGTTGCAAAGCCCACTGTGCCGCCCCATATCGTTGACCATGGCCGGCCTTGGGAATCTAATGTACCCAGGGCAAGCAGCGGTGATTGTTGAACAAGAGATGCAGCTGTCGGGCTCAGGTACGGGGCAGTCGGGTTGTCGCCATGAGGGACTCGAAGCAAGTGGTGCAATCTCTCCTCGCCCTCCTGCCAGAGCACAGTATTCGTTAGAAGTGAGGTCATCGAGTAGGGATACTGGTACTGAAAAGCTAAAAGATCTCCCATGTTGAAAGCAAGAGAGGATGTAGGTACCTGGGCAAGGATGGGGGTTATTCATCGCTTCATGCCCTGGTGCCCAAGCCTTGTAGATGACAGGGGTGCATATATGCGTGTGTACGGGAGCTTCATGAATGGTTTGTAATATGGCTCTTTGATTATTTTGAATGAATTTCCTTTCTAACGATGACATTGTCCTTCGAATGTGCAGCAATGTGTTCTAAACGGCTTTTTGATATGGCATCCATGTTTATATATCGCACTTGCAACCTTCCAAAAGCTCCCAAATGCTCCAAAATATTAGATCGATTCCACATATTTCTTGCAACTATTAAATATGCGTCATTTGATCCTTAACCTGTCAATTTTAAAGGCCTTGAGCTTGTATAGCGACCAACCAATCAGAACTGCCGCGCCGCGTTATCGACTCTCTGCCTTCGGGGAACTTTTGTAAAAGAACAACCTACACCACCTACACCCGACCTCCATTTCCCTTTTACAGCTCAATCTCGTGCAACAAAAGCAAACAATTCCAAAGGTGTCACAGAATACAAGGGCTCTTCCCGCCCAGATTCCTCATAAAATAGCTCCGAAAGCTTGCCAGTCCTTCATTCCCCCACCATGTCGACCTACGAAAGTACGAATCCCCATAACTCAAGTAAAAGCAGAATCTCCAAAGCTAACATCATTTCAGTCGAACACGACACCACCGATCCCTCAACGACCCCAACCGCACGCCGCCGCCGCCCTGACCTCTCCACCTTCTTCTCGACGCTATCCCAGATCACTCCAGCTCCCGACCACAGACCCCATGCAGTCCCCGTCCCAGGAGATGTGAGCGCGGCATTCTTCTCTCTCGCAGAGGCATTGGACATGATGCGCCGCGAGGCCGATTCAGCGCCGCAGCCCGACGCGCAGGAGGGCACCGATACCGCCGACTCAGATACCGGTCGCGATCTGCTGACGACGATGATCCAGTCGTTGCTGGCGCAGGCAGATACGCCACCGCGGGAGGTGGAGGGTGTTGATGAGGAATTCTGCGATAGTAAGAAGCACTCCCCTAGCTCACCGTGTCCATCTATCTTCCCCGCAACCAGCGGGGTATTCCTTTGTCGTTTCCATAACTAACGCCTGAACTTCTCCAGTGCTCGACCGTGTCCCCAAAGCATCCCTCAAACTCTCTGATACCTGTCCTATCTGCAACAACCCCTTCGTGGAAGACGCCTACCCGCTCGTCGTCCAGCTGCCCTGTCATCCTACACACCGCTTCGATCTGGAGTGTGTGCGGCCCTGGTTGCGACTGCGCGGGACGTGTCCGCTTGACCGTGTGGACTTTGCGAAGCAGCTGAGAGACAAGGCCGAGGCGAAGAAGAAGCTTGTTGAGGAAGATGAGGAGGAGGAATGGGATGGCATGTATGGCTGAAGAGATCCGACAAGAGACTATGCATATACGTGCGTTTTAAACTGTCTGTGATGGAGATTACATGGCAGTATTGGCTATCTTAGCATGAGTGAATGACTGTTGCATCGCTCGATCATGTACATTTCAATCAAACGGATATTGAAAGTAAACTGACCGGCCACCATATCTCGATCCTTGTGGCTCTTCACCCTTCATCGATACATATTCTTACCGCTTCCTCGAATCCTGGTCCAACGTGAGTCTCCATGAATAGGCATATACTCTAAACTATCCCTTTTTCTCTGTCTGGTCTTGGTTATTAGATGTGATTTGTGGCTGAGTCGCTTTGAACACCGAAAGATACTCGAACAAGAGGTAAATAATGCCAAAAGGCACGCAAAAACACATAAAGAAGAACAACAATGGTGTTTTAGGTGTATAATCTAGGCGTCTCAGATCCAGAACTGCATTGGCATCTACATTCGAGTCAATAACTCGAGGCACACATCGATGATATCCGAGTTCTTTATCCCCTCGTTGGTTAATTATTGAATCTGCTTCAAAGACCTTTGTCTTCTCTTTGATCAACTTTTAGGGCATTTTCATTCACGTTTTTGTCTATATGTTTGATCATCTTCTTAACAAAGGGCATACAATTTCTTTGTTAAGCTGTAGTCCTCGTCAAGGATCTTACCGTTGCTCACATATAAATATCAAGTCCCCAAGTGCTGATCGATATAATTTATCATTCCACATGACATCCTCTCTACAACTCATGTCACCTCTCACTATACCTGAACCAAGTCACAGACCGTGACTTCTGCGGAGTGTCACATATTATCAGAGTATCTTCTTCTCCCATTCCTCCCTGTTCGACTCTGTCTACTGGCTTACTCCCTAACCTATTATCACCAGGTTCATATACCTCAACCTCATTTTGGCAATCGGAGATACTTACCTCTGAGTATCCCAGCCCATTCAACCTCACCTAATGCCTCAAGCATCCCTCTGGGAGACTCTCGCGGTTGTTTTCCTTTTTCTTGTACTGGGACTGACCATCATGATAATCATGATTCTTGTCAAGGAGTGGACTGAGTACCAAGCTATGCAGTTTTGGCCGAAACTGCGTAGTACTCGCACTCTCGATCTGGAGTCGGGCCTTTATTTACTAAAGGACGTAAAGGAACTGACATGGCGCGTTGAGCAGATGGAAACTGATATTGGTCGCAAGATCCAGCTTGCTGGATACTTGTCTGAATACCATGATCAACCCCCATCCCCTTAACCGCCTTTATATTGTCAGGATACCTTCTGATAACAGACGCAGGACACAAAGACCGAATATCTGGATGCCTCCTATGCGTAGGGATAGCGCATGAGATATCGGCCCGAGTGGGTCACCCCAGTTCCCTACCCCATACTCCCATGTCTTTCGAGGCGGCTCACCTTGATGGAATTGGAGTGGGTAGGGTCAGAGTATGTTTCGGGCTAGCACTTCGGTGCAGTACCGGCGGCTAATAGCCTTTGGTGAAGCCAGACATGTTTGGATGTGCCTATGGTAGATATATTTACCTCAACCGATATCTATCATAGGCGCTGTTATTGTTTATCTTAGTTTTGGAGGCGTCCATAAAGACGCCGTGGAAAGGTGGAGAGAAGGATTATACGCGACTTTCGAGCAGTAACCAATTCAATATCCGTAGTCCTGGTAAAAAGGTCGGATAAAGACAGCTGCCGAAATGACCTAGAGATCAATTACAATTAATGCCTACCTTGCTGGTCGATGGTAGAAATCAATTTGCTAAGCTTAAAATTTATATCACCCAAATTCACCTAATTTACCTAGTAATTCTGAATCATCTTGTAGACAGTAAGGTCCTTGATCTTTGACTTGTAGGCCAGGAAGACCTTCAGGCGGAAAGATCGGATGTTCAGGCATCAGCACATGTAGACCCACCTTCTTCTTTTGGAAATATCCATGACCCATTCGAGTTCTAATAGCAGCCACCATTCCCAGGTAGATATCTACACGAATAATCGATCTTACGGAAGAAAAGAATTGCAGTCGTTCAGAAGTATCATTCAGGTTTTCCTGTCTACTCTATGTACAGTATGCGGTACAGAATTCATCATACATGACTTCGATATTTCATAAAATTTCCTCAGCCCGAGCCTTGGGCCGGATGGCCAACTTGCCTGCCTGATTGATCATCGCTTCATAGCCACTCCGCTCCAGCACGCCGCCGTCATTACTGACAACCTCACGAGCCTCGAGTTCCTCGACAAGGCTCTGGTTCTCACGGTTCCCCTCCAGCAAGAACTTAAGGCACATCACCGCATGCTCCTTGATGTATGGGTTGTGGGCATCGAAAGCGGTGCAGCAAAGAATCGCCTCGACACCGCCGTAACGACGGATCTGCTCTTGCACATCGGGGCACTTCCAGACAAGGGACGAGAGCACAAGCACGACCAGCTTCTTGAGATTGCGCCATTCGAACTCGGAGGGATCCTCCGTGATCGGAGGGGACTCGGGTCGTGAGTCGACGCTGCCGGCGCCAGTGTCGACAGGGTCTGGGTCGCTGGGATCATAAGGACGTTCGACGGCAACAGGGGCTGGGGGACTGGTGCTGGGGGCATCGTTTGCAGTGTCGTTTCGGGGAGGAGGAAGGGGTACGGAGCCGAAGGACAATTGGCTCAGCTGGCCCTTGGGGATGCTTGCTTCCAACTCCTTGATCAACGTCACCAAGTCATAGACAATCTCCCATTTAACAAGCAGGTTCTTCCAGTCATTGTTTTCGGTCAGCACGGCGAAGAACTCCAAAAACTGGTAGACACCTTCGTATACCCGTTCCATATCCCATAGATTGAGCGGGAAGTCCTCCGAAAGAGCCCGGTTGGCGCGGATCTGGCCTTGGAGGTAGATCAGAGCACAAGTCTCGGGGATGATGTTTCCACGGAAGATGGTGAAGATGTATCGGACAGTGAGAATATCAACTCGGTTGAGCGAGTTCGGGTTGCGGGTAATGTTCGGCTGAGCCGAGCCCGTTACCGAAGCAGGAGAGTACTTGGCTCGGAAGATGTGGGTGAGGATCTTGATCACAACAGCCTGCGCTGGAGAAATTATGTCCTTGGGCTGACCGAAGTCCGAGTAGGCATGAGACATAAGACCGTTCTTAAGCACGGCCTCCATGATCTGGACCATCATCTTGAAGTAGAGCTCGTCATCGGGAAGATCCCATGCCGCAATGAAAATCAGTAGTTCACGCAGTAGGTTACGTCCAGTCTCCTGCGTGAGCAGGATGTGACAGCGGAGCGCTTGCATGTTCCTCGAACCATTACGTTCGCCGCCCTTGAGCCCAAAGCTGTCTACAATACCGGCCTGAACAATCATAGGCAAAGCTTCGATTTCTGCCGGTCCAAGGACCAGAGGGATATCTGTCAAAAGACCCCGCTGTTGATCACCAGGACGGCCACGATATTCATCGTCTTCCTCTTCTTCGTCATCAGCTTCTCCATCGACGCCATCGTCATCCACGTCATCATCGCCATCTCCGTCAACGCTTCCGTCGGCCAGGTGATCCAGACTGTGCGAATCATCATCCCCCACCGTGTGTGCGTCCCCGTGGTCATAGTCATGCTCTTCCTCGCCATCGATATGTGATGGCTCCTGGAGCCGAGCCATGAGTTCGTCCTTGGCTTCTTGGAGGGTCTCGGCGGCAGAGTGAGCTGACCGCGGCATACTGGTATCTTCCTCTGTAACAGGTCCATCTACAGCGCCAAAATCGTTGATCTCTGGAAGATCGGCCCAGCAAAGACGAGGGAAACCAGCTGTGAGACTGCGATCAATAGTCAGAATGGTCTTCTTCTTGGTTACTTCGTGCTCCTCTTCTTCCTCATCGCGTTCCCTGTGATCGTCATGCTCCTGGTCATCGTGGTCTTCAGACTCCTCGTGCTCTTCTTCGGGAAGCGCAGCCGGGATTTCACGGGCCCGGTCCTGGAGATCAGACCAACCGTCGACCTTAGCACCAAGTATCGCAGTCAGAGCAGCCCTGATATCCTTGACCTGGTCTGGGTCTCTGCCCATTTCCTGGATAGCGCTAAGGTCACGCCCCAGGATCCTCTCCATGTGATCCTTAATATTGGCCAGAAGCAGCATGGCAGCCTCTTCCTTGATAGTTGCTGGCTCTCGCGGGAACTTGGCGATAGTCTCCAATAGCAAATCCTCAGCAGTTTGGTCGTAAAGCGCGCGAATCGGCGGGTTGATGACACGCTCTCCAACTTGAACAATGGGTGCCACTCCTTCTCGCGAGCTGGCATCGTCCAAAGGCTCCTTGGGCTTTATGATGTTCGTATCAGCGGTTGAATGGTAACCAAACAGATCCAACCATAGCACCATCTTGCGATGCTCGTTGTGCATAATGAAGTTATGAAGGTACTGGAGGCATGTAATCAGAAGGCGCTTGTAGAGGTTGACGACTTTCTGCCATCGTTCCTCGTTTCGCGCATTTTGCTCGCCATCGAATCCTCGAGCGGTGACCCGAACGCAGGTGTCGATGAGAGCTAGAATTCTTTGATCAAATCCTGTTTCCGCTGCGAGGTTCTGTGCCTTCTTGGTTGTGGCGAGGAGGTTGCGAGCAATTGTACACAGATCATTCAAGCGCTCGATATCTTTGACCAGCGCGAAATAATTGTATGCGATCAGGTTGGCAGATGAGTGTTCGTAGCTTGCTGCGGGGCTTTTCCACGCAAAAGATTGGGACTCGAGGACAGGGATTGCTTTGGTGAGGACGTTCGTGAGACCTTGCCAGATATCCGGCGACATGCCGAGATTGTGACTAGCAGAGCGCAACGGTTTAGTATACGAAGCACGCAAATGGTCAATTATATTATGATCTTACCGAACATCGCTCTCCTGGTGTGTTTTGTACAGGATCTGCTTCCCAGCGGCAAGCATGTGCTCCAAGCGCTTGTCATCGATCATGCCCCGAACTTCGTAGTGGCTCAGTGTCCCTGCAAGGATTACCTTAAGCATGAGCTCAGCTGGCGTGCATAATGGCTTTGGATCTGCCATCTCGTTAAAAAAAAATATCCCAGCTATAACGAGAATTCCTTCAAGGGTTAAACAGCGCGGGGAGATCAGAGTGGGATGAGAGAATCAAAGATTCGGAGGTGTGGAGAGACAAATTTTCCGCCCGCACGAATGTTATCGTTATCGCTCCTTCGTATCTCTCCGCCTCATCGAAGCATACAACATACATCGCCCTTAGGTATGTGATGTTCCACTTATCCTCACATGTGTCAAATATCGGTTCCAGTTTTATTGTCTCACTTAGTGGGGATGGTTCCAAGGTATATGTAATAGACTGCGTCTTTCAGGTAGATATGTATATTCCTAGGTATTCCTTCGAATCGAACTTCCATAGACAACATAGGTGCTATATGCAAAGAACTTAAAAATTACCAGATATCTCCTTAGATCGACGAACAGATAATCCCACCACATCCCGAAGATTGTACCAAAAGCCCATATCGTAGATGTTGTCGACATCTCTCATAGTGTGGAGTCGCCTCCATCGAGGGTCAGGAGGTAAGTCTGACCCCGGGCGACGGGCAATGCAATTGGAGTCGGATGCCAACAAACATCCTTCAGTTGGAGGATCTTCATCAATGACAAGGATTTGATCAGTATGCACAGGCCACAGTTGATCATATAGATCCATAGGAAGGGGCCTGTCGAAGATGAGACTTCGTTTTGTCTTGAATACAATGCCGTCTTCCACATCATCTTTCCAATCGGACCATTTGGCGCTCTCATTGGTTGTCACCCCAGCCCAGATGAGATACGTATGGTATGCCAGGAAAGATATCGCTAGTGGGGCAGTCATAAGCATCAGTAGAAATACTGTCCCAATCTTGGGATTAGCAGTAATCACAATACCCCATGTGTTGATCCAGGCTGTCCAGCCTTGCATGGCCTCCTGTATCTGCGGTGGGACCATTTGCCTCAGCGTCTCAGAGAGTATGGCATGACCAAGGTAGGAGCCGTAAATCAACATGGCAGAAAGGGAGACCAAGAGCGAGATGAAGTACACGCAGTTGTTGGCCCCGACGCAGTTCATCAGCCATACACAGTGGTGGTCATGTCGAGAAACACAGGCCTGACAGAAGTTGCAATGCTTGCTGCGCGCTGGCTTGAGGAACTTGCAGGTGCTACATTGATGCCCCGGATGAAAAAGGACTCGGTCGTACGGATAGCGTCTCATTTCTCCCTCATGGTTCTCTGCTGTGATAAATGACTTGGTCACAACACACTTGTAGAGCAGGAAATATGGCAAGCTGATAGTTGTGGGTACCCAGACTCGATGAATGCTCGAAAGCCAAGGCCACGCGGCCGGGACAAAGATGCCTTCTCCAATGACCAGCAAGGAGGCAAAGAAGATCTAGTATTCAAGGTCAGTATCTGTATATGCAAGTAAAAATAGATTCGGAGACCCACCAGGACAAGCGGGTGGTTCTCCTTCAGTAAATAGCTGCCAGATCGATTCCAGCATCGTACTATTCTCCCGCCGAACAAACGATTATCGACAACGGCAATTCCATTCGGGAAGTACACCCACAGTGCCTGATGGAGCCAGGCGACCGGAGTTTTCCTTGAGCTGTCAGCACGGAGCTTCAAATGTTTGCAAGTTCACAAATTGCTCACCGGAAAGCTGGCAGCCTGCCAAATAGCGCAATGAAGGTGAACGCCGAGACCGCCAGTATCACCAGACCAACGGTTCTGAGGGCCCCCATTCTGAAGCTTAATTTCTCTCGGTCAGTTCAAAGGAGATACTGCTTGCTCTGCATCTTCTGGTGATATTCTTCACGGTTCCTGCATTCCTTGACTCGTGTTCGACTCGTGTTCGACCGACTTGTTCTCATCGCAAGTCGTCGGTTTTGTGTATTCCACGTGACCGCGTTTTCAGCCTCGGCGCGAACCAACTATTCCATCTATGACCCTATCGATTGAGACTGCCTAGATCACATTTTATCGAACACAAGAACTGGCAATGGAGTGAGGACAACCCCTATCTTGCACCATAGCCTGCTGTTGAATGGGAAAAAGCCCCTCGCGAGACATCAACACGTGACATCAACCTACAGATATCGGAAGCTCATGATCAGTTTAAATAACCTCGACACGTATCGCGTTGCAGACAAATCTGGCCTACTCTAAGGCGTGAAAGCTCGAAGAATATGTTTTAAGCTTGGTTCATGAAGAGCTGAAATGGCGAATTCGACAAATGACTCGTCTCGGGCTGAGACTACGACAATGAATCTGTTTCACGGCGCACGATTCTGGCTATCTCTAACTGTTCCACAAAGGCCGAGATTTAAAGAATTAATCAAGGTATTTTGGGCATGCCTTCTCTTGTTTCGATATTACTGAGGCTAATGAGTATCTAGCAATATGGTGGCACCGTTGTGCTGATGGAGAAGGATGCCGATGTGAAGCTGGTGGATCACACAAGGAAAGACCTGCCTAGGGACACGTACGGAATACGGAACTCTTTGCTGGCCCATGATCAGTGTACTAATTTAAAATTAGTTTCTCCTATCAATATGTAGAGCGTTCTATCGACAAGGGACGACTCGAGGATCTAGAAGCCCACCGGGCTGGCCCATCCGCACCTCGTCCAATGGGTGCATCGAACATCCCGACGAAAAGCACAAGAGCGTACTACACCTTGAAAGACGATCAGATTTTGTTCGACTGGGTTGAAAGCTATAAACTAGAGCCAACGACGCCTGTCCAAGGCAACATAATATACCAGGAATTAGGTGAACTGGTATGATGCTCCCCTGCCCAGGTGTTTCTGTCAAGCTACAGGACATAGATATAAATCCGATACTAATTGGTAGCACACAGTACACCCGTCATCCATGGCAGTCCTGGCGTAGTAGATATCTGAAGCACGTGCGTGGTAAGGGCCGTCCAGGGGGCGGCACCCCATTATCATATGACGAGCTCTTACAGTCCGCGCCATCCCAAGCCGAACGTCCAAAGACCTTAATTAGCTCAAGGGTCCACCGGCTGGCGCCACCTGCTCCAGCCCAAGCAAGTACAGCAGACAGCCCAAAACGAAAACGAGATCCCGTCCCTGAACCGCCGAATCAACGGCGGAGGGATGTTTCACCTATGAAAAGAAGAGCAATCGAGCCTACTGCAACTGCGGGCCCCTCCTCACGTCGTCCCCGTCCTGATAGCCGGGGACCCCCAGAGTCATCAAGCGTGGCAGCCACACCACCCTTTACTACACGACCAGAAAGAGGCTCTCCCAGTGTGTTGTCGTCAGATACAGGACCCCTTCAAGGCCTTGGGATTCCTGATATCTTCCCAGTCCCAAGCCCTTCCATACAAACCCCTCGTCGCGTCACACACGGGAATTCACAACGACCAGCTAATGTAGCAGAACCGCCAGCACCGCCAGCCCCACCGCGGCCATTGGGGGACAATGCCTTCGCACAGTCTGGCCGATTCAAGAAACAGACACCGAAACCCAGACCACTCGTCAAGGATATCATCGAAGACCCAGTGGACCCTGTTTTCCTAGAACTCCCATTCTTGCCATCGAGCCCTGCATCCGAGACGGATGACGATGACACCTCGGATGCACCGGACGTCGATACTTGGATTGATGAACGCCTGGCCCTAGGTGCCAAAGAATCCCATGTGTTCGAGGCTCTGCAATGTACAAGCATGGTCCCAGAGATGGCAGATAAAGTTCTCAAATACCTCACCGCTGGCAAGGGTATTCCCGATGATATGCCCGGGGTCTGGACAGCCGAGGACGACAGCTGTTTACAAGCGGGGGAATATTCGCGTGTGCAGCGAGCGTTGACAAAACACGGCTCAGAAGCGTACAAAGATAGATGGGAATATTTCAGAATGGCCCGGCAGACAGGGCTCATTGAATGATACCATGAGATGTGGAATTTGAGAAAGCGCACGAAGGATGGCTACAATGGACAAGTTGCAATTGTGAAGTACCTGAACATTAGCGTGCGGCTAGAAACGAAATACTCTCCGAAAACACCGGTGTTGACCTGCCCAGAACGCAAAGAGGAACTTGGAACTCAAAACTAAAATCAATGTAAGGGCAGCTGTGCCATATTCAAAACGCGTTCGTCGCAGAAGTCAGGGAGCATTGCAGCGACGGCCTCTCGCTACTGCACATCCGAGATTGAAGAAATGGCCTAGAAATAGCACACTTGGGTACCATTTTCGAGTTGGTGATATATCGACTTGTCGGTGAACAGGATAGATTTAGTTATCCTTAAAGACACTATGAGAGATGTTAGGAACGCATTTCGCGCTTTCAATAGGAGGACTTGACTCACAGGTGCGACTCGTAGAATTTCAGCATCTAGTTTGGCTGTTAGTATGTTGTCGCTGTTTTGGGACGGTAAAGGAGGACATACTTTCAAAGGACACTTTTCATAGCAGACTTGAACGGATAGTTTCGCCTTATGTCCATTCTTGAACTCGAGCCAGGCCATAAGACCTGCGTCGCCCTCCCGGACAATTGTGTCCACCTCTTTCACATCCTTATCCCAGTTCTTCCCTTTTGGAAGCCATTGAATGCCATTTTCCTTGGACGAGGGGGACTCTTTCTTGGTCGTTTCCTTAGGCGCCGACTTTCGGCGCTGTCTCTTGGCTTCGTTCGCTGCGGGGCCCGGTACAGGCTTAGCAGGCTTTGAATCACCCATAGATTTGCGCTTGCGACCTGGCTTTCCTGGCGTAGGCTTCTGGTCGCTCTTCTTCGGGCGACCACCGATCCTCTTGTAGTATGATGTGACAATGTCGCGGGCTCCCTCCCTATGGTGTTTGTCAATGAATGCTCGTAGTAGATATCGAAGCTCAGCGAGTGCGTAGACGTACAGGAGACCATCCTCCTCTTCCCATGTGTGGTCTTCGATCTTCTCGTAACCCTTCCATTTCACGAAGAGCTTAAGGGTTCCCTATAGTTTATTAGCTTCTCAGCACAATGAGGCTGAGGGTTGTGAACATACATCATCAAGCCAGGCGTGATGAATAATATCCTCGACAACGTACCTGCACAAGTTAGAAACATGTGTCCACCAGTCGGGCGGAATGCGCAACTAACAGTCCCTCTTCCTCATCCTCCTCTTCGTCTCCTTCGTCTCCCGGGGAGTCCTGGTCATCTTTGCCATTTGTCTCTGGCGCATTTCTGAAAGGAATGTCGCCGGATTCCTCGTCAGACATCTCTTCAACGGGAGCTAGAGCATGAACGGGTCAACTGAGATGCTCACCATTGCGCGCGCGACACATCAACATTGGGGGAAAGCACTCACGAGGCATGTTTCGGTTGAAGGGTGAGATGAAGTTAGAGAGCTTAGAAAACAGATTGGCGACTGGAGGAATAAAACCTCAATTGCAGTTGTAAAACCAGACGTTAAGACTGTCGCATCCAGAGCAATTGGAGGAGTCAAGCAGAAACGCGTTGAAGGCGGACAAGATACGCTATACCGCTTTGGGCAGTCAGAATTTCATTTGTCAAAAGTGCATTTCGGGAAGCTCCCCCTCAAGGCTCAACTTACAAGTTCACTGCTTTGTCTTGTCAGTTACTTTTGATTATCTCTTGGTCTCCTTGTCTCCTCTTTTTAAGATTCTTTATATTTTGCCAGGTGGCAGCCCACCGTCAACATGGCAATGCGTAAGGCCGCACCCCATACCCCTCATTCTTGAAATGTGCTTTGGCTAACTATGTGGGTTTTGATCTTCAACAGAGCTTGACATGTCTCAGGGTGATTACTCCTCGAATACCTTGGTACAACATGGATTGGTCGCTGACATTAAGGGGTAGCTTCGGTCTTGAAGGACGAACAGGGACGGCCATTTATTGTCGTTCGGGAGTACGTTCACCGCTACGCCTTATCCTTCGTTTCAAAATACCGTTGAGAGTTGGAGGCTTGAGATATGGGGCTGACGGGGCTTTTTCATTAAAACAGTCAGGGAAAGAAGAAGAGACAGCATGGCACTGAGGCCGTTAAGTCACACATTGTTGCCGCGAAGACGGTGGCTAGCATTGTCAAGTCTTCTCTGGTATGGCACTCGGCAAGCGATGAATGGAAAGAGATCTGACTCTCGTTTTTAGGGTCCCCGTGGTCTTGATAAGATTCTGATCTCCGCCGACGGCGATATCACCGTCACCAATGACGGCGCAACTATTCTCGGACAGGTTCGACCCCGAAGTCCTTTCCCCCGGAGAGATCCAATTCTGGCTCGAGAAACTGATATGATGGTTATGGTTAGATGGAGATCACAAACAACGTGGCGAAGCTGCTGGTCGAACTTTCGCAGTCTCAGGACGAGGAGATCGGCGATGGCACGACCGGTGTCGTGGTGCTGGCAGCGGCCATGCTTGAACAAGCCTCGGACCTCATTGACAAAGGCATCCACCCCATCCGGATAGCCGACGGATACGATCAGGCCTGCGAAATCGCCATTGCGGAGCTCGACAGAATCAGTGACGAAATTACATTCAGCAAAGATGATACCACCAACCTCCTCAAAGTGGCCAAGACCAGTCTGGGCAGCAAGATGTACGGATTTCTAGCTGCATATTAGTTCTGGTTGATGCTGACGGTTTTCATAGTGTCTCCAAGTCCCACGACCAATTCGCGAAGATCGCTGTTGATGCCGTGCTCTCGGTTGCCGACTTTGAGCGCAAGGATGTCGATTTCGAGTTGATCAAGGTTGACGGCAAGGTCGGCGGATCCCTCGAGGACTCTCTGCTTGTCCGTGGTGTTATCGTGGACAAGGACTTCTCTCACCCCCAGATGCCTGACGAAGTTCGGGATGCCAAATTGGCCATCTTGACCTGTCCCTTTGAACCTCCCAAGCCCAAGACCAAGCACAAGCTTGATATCACATCTGTTGAGGAGTTCAAGAAGCTGCAGGACTACGAGAAGGAGAAGTTCACAGAGATGATCCAGCAGCTGAAGGAATCGGGTGCCAACCTGGTCATCTGCCAGTGGGGTTTCGATGATGAGGCCAACCACCTTTTGCTCCAGAATGACTTGCCTGCCGTTCGGTGGGTTGGTGGGCCTGAGATTGAGTTGATCGCCATTGCCACAAACGGCCGTATTGTGCCCCGCTTCGAGGATCTGTCCTCTGAGAAGCTCGGCACGGCTGGTGTTGTCCGCGAGATGAGCTTCGGAACTACGAGAGAGAAGATGCTGGTGATTGAGGAGTGTGCCAACACCCGCGCAGTGACGATTTTCGTTCGTGGAAGTAACAAGATGGTGAGTCGATCTCTGCACCACGCGTAGGGAGATGTGCTGGTAGCTAACTTCAGCTACAGATCATTGATGAAGCCAAGCGGTCACTACACGATGCTCTGTGTGTCGTCCGCAATTTGGTGCGCGACAACCGTGTGGTCTACGGAGGTGGTGCTGCCGAGATTGCTTGTTCCATTGCCGTGGAGGACGCCGCTGTCAAGAGCCCCGGCATTGAACAATATGCCATGCGCGCCTTCGCTGATGCGCTGGACGCTGTGCCCTTGGCCCTTTCCGAGAACTCTGGCTTGAGTCCCATTGAGACCCTTGCCTCTATCAAGTCGCGCCAGGTCAAGGAGAAGAACACCCGACTCGGTGTTGACTGCATGATGACTGGCACCAACGGTACGCCCCTAGAAAACCATTCCAAACTCAGTTGCGTTCATCCGTCTAACTTGGGCTCTTTAGATATGCGCGAGCACTTCGCTATTGACCCCCTGATTGGCAAGCGCCAGCAACTTCTGCTTGCTACCCAGCTATGCCGTATGGTTCTTAAGGTACTGCTCCCTTGCACTCTTTCTGTCGTGCTCGATGCTAACCCTCAATCAGATCAACAACGTCATTATCTCTGGTGATGATCAGTCTGAGTTCTAGATGACTAGATTCTAGCCCTATTCCACGATGGTAAAAGAAAGAAAACTGATGATTCTGGTTTGCTATGTAAAAACATGGTCACTTACATAGAACCCTTTTAGTTTCAATAAAACGAAAGGATTGATAATGTCTCTATCTGGTCACTGCTTTTCTCTCGCTCTTGATATGAAAGCTTTGGTCTACGACTATATGATGTAGAGATGCCATAGCCCAGAACGGCATCTGATTCTCAACAACATGAGCGCCATGCACATCCACAGGCGAACCTAGCGAAAAAGCTATCGGTATGACATACTCGTCTCACCCACGAATCCCAAACACCCATAGCTCCCAGTTCGGTGCCATCCCTTCTGCCTCAGGAACCACACGATGTCGACCGGAAGTCCTTGCCGAAACCACAGCAAGCGCGAAATACATACTAGTACAGCATGTAAAAACAGTCCATCCCAAACCAACCTTTTCACACCAGCAGGTTTGTTTTCGTAAGAGATCCGTGCCTCCCTTCGGGATCGTGTGGGATCGTCTGTGTTCACTGAGGGTCACCCGATATGCCGAGGAACAACAACGCACCCAAAAGAAGACAAACACACTCCCACCGCAACATCAACTGACAAATTTGGCTATTCGGAGTCTGGCTTCCGTTCAACCTCGGTACGCATTTGTGGGGGTGCCTATTCTTTCCGTCATGTTTCTTTCCCGTCAAGGTCTTCTAAATTAATGGACGAACGGGACTAGGTAACTGGTGACCTGTCCCATAATGGGGATATACATTTCCTTGTTACCCGGATACGAGAGTGAAATCTTAATGTTTGGAATTAGAATTAGGCACTCGATGTATACTTTTTTAGACAGCACCTGAAGCCTTGCATGCGAGTTTAGGTCATGATGTTCTATCAAATGGACGATGCGTTGGCTCCTTGGGTTCTTGTCATTCTGTATTTCCATCCTCCTTTATGACGTTCCTTGGAATTGATGCGAGTATCAGTGATATCACTAGCTCCGATTTGTTTTCTTTCCTTCCTGAAGAAACCCTTGCAGGGCGAAGATCAGATCGCTTCTGCATGCACAATAGAGACCCCCACTCTACGAGGTAATCTGTACGACGAGCAGATGCCGACATCAACAGGAAAGAGCAGCGATCTACGATATTCATGTCTGCAATGACGTTTTCGTACAGGTTATACAGATTCAGAACAAGCTCATTGTCCCGAATGTGTTGAGTTCTGTATCGTGACCCCGGGGAACTACGCCGTGCAACGAAGTGTCGGCCTATAGGACGGACTGGAATTGTGAATTGAACATAGACTCGATAATTATCATAGCTTGGGCAATTACCAGAGCTTTTCTCGACATGACGCCCAAATCAGAATTTCACGGCGAAGGCCGCGTACTAAGTCTCAGTTTCGGTGGGATGGATATATTCAGCACTATGAAAATACACACTTAGAAAAGACATCATTATTTTCAAGTCCTTCCAGCGCTTAGAGAAAAATACAATCTTATTTTCTTTTTCCCGTCTCCTTCTTGAACCGGTATGGTAGAGCTTTCAGCTTCGTGCAGGGATTCAGGTGTTGACTCCAGGGTTTCACAATGCATGGAAGTACGACCCCAGTTCCCCGCGACTCGTGGACCATAGGATTCAGAATTCTGCTATTACTACAGCTCGACTGAAGGCGAGACAGGCCTAGACCAGTTCTATTGTCTCTCTTTCTTTTCACATGTAAGCTGGCTACCTTAACCTGGGGGTTGACGATATGTCCACTCGTATGTGTGAGCTTTCCTTTCTGGGTAGTCAAAATGGCGGATCACTTCGGTCTAGGCAAGAAAATAGTCAAACAAACCACTGAAAGGTCGCTTAACCAAACCCCAACTGTATACCCAGACACAATAATGCCAACAGCCATCCGTATTTTGAAATACCAGCTGCGCCAGGAATCCACGAAGCCATCGAACTCGAAATACTGCATTGTAGTGCCATTTGAAAGCAAACGAGGCAATAGTAAGTGCCGCGCTAGGATAAAAACCTTATAATGTAGGCATATTAATGCAGCTGCATCGAGCATATCTATACATAGCACACACGATTCCAAGACGCATTGCATCCCGCGGCAGATCAATTTAAAGTCCCCCATGACCTGCAGCGGGTCATGTTACAAGGCGTCCTCATTGGAATATTCGAAAACGGGCGGCAGCCGCCACCACAGGAGACGGACGTCAGCTCCAGCATAACCGTAGGTGAGTACGCCGCGACGTACCCTGCCTGGGCAGATTAGGTACTTATGTACATGGATTGGTTCGATCTTCCGCCTCGGGCCAAATTCAAATCCATCGCTGCGGTGTGACACCGCTGACAGGTACGAGTGCAAGCCCCGATCTGGCGCCCATTTTCGTGGTCGGGGCGAGATTGCAATCTGTGGGACACGCGAGTTTGGATTTGTTGTGCTGGCTATTCTGTTTTTCTCTTTTCGTTATCTAGTATATTGTGGGTGGGGAGAACTGTATCAAGGCTATGCTGCTGGTCAGCTTGTGTTCTCTCTGTTCTGTGCCCTGCGTTCTCAATAGGACTGGGCTACGTTGCATAGTCCTGTAGGAGAGTAGGCGATGTCTTGTATTCTTTTTCTTGCGATAGTCGACATAGCCGCGCTATGCTTGAAGAAAACTTCCACCGGAGATATTATTTCCGTAGTTCAGATGACCTGGTACTTGTCGGCCAAGTGGAACAGGCGAGGAGCATGGTATAATCGATATTTTGGTGAATATGGGTCTTGACTCTACGCGACCTCGGAGCATGAGTTACTGTCGTGTCAGCCTCATCGATGCTAGAATCTGAATCACCTAGGTTGCTCACATGGGCATTGATTGATTGACGTGGCTTCATTTCGTTCGTAGTCCAGTATTAAGATCTCAGACGTTTTTCTATCTTCTCGTGACAGTCGTTTTATGTAAATTGGGCATCCTCTGCTAATGAGCAACTGTCACTTCCGATCTGTGGTCATTTAGTTGTTCTACCGCTCCTTCGGGGTATCGTTGGTCTCGTCACACGACGCACCTGTTAATCGACACACCACCAACCCAGTGATCGCTATATTTGAGGTCTGTGACAATTCGACTGCCTTGGGAAACTTCGGGTTTCCCGATCTGTAGATGTTTGCAGGCTTCTACTCCATACTGAAGTATGGAAAATCTCGGTATAGGCACGTATTATTCGAGAAGTGACGACCCTTTTCAGAACATTCTCTTCCTAGTTCTTTCTTTTTATCTGTAATCTATTTGCATCAGATCGAAAATAGCACACGGTGTGCCAGTGAGCGCTTTGGCCGAGAGCGGACTTTCAGGGTCCAGGGTGTCCCCTCAATGTTCCCCGGATTTTGATCCCCCGCGAAAGGTGAGCAGCTTTTATATTTGGAAGTCTGTAATATTACGGGAGTCCACATGTTTACACATCTACCCTATAACTAAAGTTATAACCTTGAAAAGAATAAACAAAAACTAGGATGGATACCTATAGTGTACATGTATATTCTGCACTTGCAAAGATATATACCGCAACATCTAGAACCTTTAGCCCGCAACCTATCTTCAAGCCTCAACAGAACATGTTTGATTAGACGTACGTAACAGGCTTTGTTTTCAGTCGACATCTAAATATTATGCGACCAACAGCCACGGCTGGCGGGGAAGCAGGTGACGAACCCGGACGAATTATGCAGGCGGCTAGAGCCTAACACACTGACAGATGATCAGCTGCACTGAACAAACGAAACATCAAAAATGGTCTCCAAGGCTTTGAAGTCAATACCCGGTAAGCGTCCAAAATCAGCAGTGACAGAGTGCTAGTACAAACGATCAAAGGAGATCAATCGATCAGCTGTCGCATGGCGCGCTGTCAAAGAAGCCCAGTGATCACTGTACAGAAGAGGCTTCGTTATCAATCAGGGATTCGACTCCTGATGGCATTGACTACGTGTCGATGAAACACTCCATCTCAACAAAAGTAAGCAATCAAAGACAGCGATCTCAGCCCACCGACCGCCGCAATCACACGCCGAGAGACACCGAACCGGCGGTGATGTGAGATCTTTGTACACAACCGCTGCAGCCGTTCTGGGCGAGGAATAAAAGCAAAGAGAGCTGTCAGGAGATAGCCGCCCTAAATAGCCACCGGATGCACATGGCCCGATGCAGTCAGCTTGCGTTGTGGGGATGTCATTGGTCAGGCGGCTTAGGATTAACACGTATATTATCCAGTTGTTTGCACAATGGTGAGAGCACAAAAAGAAGATATAGCCTCTAGCTCTTCCATAGGTAGATGGGTCTAGGCTTTTTAGTCAGGTGGTCTTGTAAATTGGGCTATTTCTGGAGACTCTTGTCTTTGATTACTTCGTATCTCCGACCATCGCAAGAAGCAAAAACCAGTTACGATCTCTTTGGGAAAATGAATGGCTTGGGTTTGTATTTGGCATTGGTGTCTTTACAAACATACTCCGTACAAAAGGAATTAATTGAAGGCGTCGAATCAGGTGTCTGGAACTTCACCTGGCCATGGCAGGGGCTGTTACTTACTCAAATACCAGAACAAGCAAAGAAAGAGAAAGAGACTGTAACCGACATTCAATAGGCATTTCTTTCTGGATTTCCCTCGCAGTATGCTTCCCAGAAATAATATGCGATGACGAGGTGGCGGATGAAGCGTCAAGCCCAAATACTTCATACTGTATGGATTAGAGTATGTATAGACCCTTGCACTGCAACATCAAGAGAAGTGGGGCCATAGCGCTGGAAAGAAAATGAGAGCAGACATGCCAGGGCTACCGAATAACTGGGAACATGATCTGCAGAAAGCATAGGGTGGATAGATAATTGGGCCACAACTCCAAACAAGGGAGTTGTCGACGATCCGGGACCAGGGGCCGCGCAGACAAGACGACGGGCTAGATCTTTCGATGGTATGCATGGATGTGCTCTTTTTGCTAGTTTGTTACGGTTGAACGAGCAACAGG